CCAATCGGAAGAACAATAACATGTACCGTTATCGCGGTAGTACAGTTATTGGGACAACAACAGTGACATCCAGTGACGAAAAAGAGGCATAATCAACCAGGCTATGGCACATGCAGTTGGGACATGCTGGAGGAAAATCCTTGAAAACTCTATCAGATCAAGGATTATTAAAAGGAGTAAAAACTTGCAACTTGGAGTTTTGCGAGCATTGTGTCAAAGGGAAACAGACAAGGGTTAAAATTTGGTACAGCGATCCATAATGATAAAGGCATTTTGGATTATGTACACTTTGATGTTTGTGGTCCTTCCAAAATACCTTCATTGGGTGGGAAGCACTATTTTGTAACCTTTGTTGGTAATTTTTCCCGAAGAGTGTGAGTGTATACAATGAAGAGGAAAGATGAAGTGTTGGAAATTTTTCTCAAATGGAAGACGATGGTGGAGAATCAAACAGGCAGGAGGATCAAGTGTATTCGCACAGACAATGGAGGTGAATACAAAAATGATCATTTTAATAAGGTCTGTGAAAATGATGGCATCGTCCGACACTTCACTGTCATACATACACCACAACAGAATGGAGTGGCAGAACGTATGAACCGGACCTTGCTGGAGAAGGTACGGTGTATGTTGTCCAATGCTGGCTTGGGCAAAGAATTTTGGGCTGAGGCAATTACATATGCATGCCACCTCATTAATCGTCTACCATCTGCTGCTATTGATGGCAAGACACCATTTGATAAACGGAAAAGGCCTAAAAATGCCACTCAACTTTCAGAAATGGTCTATCCATGCCATCCGTTAAAAAAATGCTATTTCCATGCCACTGCCGTTACAGAAATGGCTCATCTATGCCATTATTAAACTAACAGCTCAATTTTTTTTTTTAAATTTTTTTAACACTAACATTTTCACGTGTAATGTCTTCATTGGTCCGAATTAACCCATGCCCAACTTAATTTTAACCTCGGTTAGGTCGATTAACCCAAACCCACCCGGTTAAGTTTTTACCCAAATAATCAACTCAACCCAAAACCAAACCGAACCCTTCCATATCCCCCCTCTCCGGTCATCTTCCCCAAATCAAAAATTGGTCTTTCGTGTCTTGGCCCTTTCCACCATTTTTCTCAAAGAAGCCGCTGCTTATGGTCTCTGCCTTGCTGAAATTGGTGAGATGATGAGCAGGGAATTCCGTAGTGGGGAGGAGGAACCAAGTGAGCTTGAAGTTGTTTGCTTGGAGGCAAGAAGGCTAATTGCTGAGAGGGAGATTATTTCTCCCAAGTCTGAAGTGGATGAGGAGTTTCAATTTGACATAGATTGCAAAGATGCTGGATACGATTATAGTCCCAAATTGATTTCTCAGGACTTCATAAACCGAAACCCATTTCATTTTCCAATTAGAGGAAATGGCTACTTCCCACTCTCTAAACTATATGAAAGGATTTAATGGAGCTAGGGTTACAATTTCAGAAAGATAATGAAGAAATTGGATTTAATGGAGGTTTTAGGGTTGCTGATTTGGGAAAGACGGCTGGAGAGTGAAGGGGATTTGGTTTTGTTTTAACCGGGTTGGTTTTGGGTAGATGGACCTAACCAAGGTTAGACTTATGTGGGGCATGAGTTAATTCGGACCAATAATGACAGGACACGTGGAAATTCAAGTCTTATAAATATTTTTAAAAAAAATTCCAGCCGTTAGTCAAATAATGGCATGGATGGGCCATTTCTGTAACGGCAGTGGCATGAAAATAGCATTTTTTTAACGGATGGCATGGATAGACCATTTCTGAAAGTTGAGTGGCATTTTTAGGCCTTTTCCGTTTAAAAAATGGTATGGAAATCTTGCTGTAGATTATGACTCTTTACACGTGTTTGGCTCAACTGCATATTATCATGTGACAGAGTCAAAATTGGATCCAAGGGCAAAGAAGGATATTTTTATGGGGATTACTTCTGGAGTCAAAGGATACCGATTATGGTGTTCTATGACAAAGAAAGTAATATTCAGCAGGGATGTTACCTTCGATGAATCTACTATGGTAAATAAGGTAACAAATGAAGATACCAAACAAGATGATGGTGCTTCTAAGCAGGTGGAGTTTGAGGGAAAATTTATTTTTCCTACACAAGAAGCAAAGGAGGAAACAAATGAAGATCATCTTCTGGAAGAAGAGCCAGTTGAGAGGGAGGTTCCAACTCAGGAACCTCAACAACAACTTGAATCAATAGCAACCAGCAGGCCAAACAGGACAATAACAAAACCTGTTCGTCTGATAGAGACGGTGGCTTGTGCTGCCTCAATTGTAGCTGATGATGTTCCTACCACTTATAAAGACGCAGTACAAAGTTCAGAAGAAGATAAGTGGAGGATTGCCATGAATGATGAAATACAATCCCTTCATCAGAATCATACATGGAGATTGGCCAATCTCCCGAAGGGCAAGAAAGCAATTGGGTGCAAGTGGGTTTACGCAAAGAAGGAAGGATTTCCTAACCAAGTAGATGTTCGCTACAAAGCAAGATTGGTGGCCAAAGGATATGCTCAAAAGGAGGGAATTTATTACAATGAAGTATTTTCTCCAGTTGTAAAATATTCCTCCATTAGAATTATGTTGGCTTTGGTAGCACAGCTGGATTTGGATCTAATTCATATGGATGTAAAAACTGCGTTTTTACATGGAAACTTGGAGGAGGAAATCTACATGACTCAGCCAGAAGGATTCAAAGTTGCTGGAAAAGAAAATATGGTATGCAAACTTGAAAAATCATTGTACGGATTGAAACAAGCGATTTGACAAGTTTATGTTGCGGCAAGGGTACAAGAGAAGCAAATACGATCATTGTGTGTATTTGCGCAAGCTTGAGGATAATTATATCTTCTCCTATATGTTGATGATAGGTTGATAGCTTCCAAGAATTCGGAAGAAATTGATAAGTTGAAGATTCAAAGAAAATTGAATATGTGAAATTGATAAGAGATAGATGTTCAAAGAAACTCTGTTTATTTCAGAAAGAATATTTGAAGAGAGTACTACAACGCTTTGGCATAGATGAAAGGACTAAGCCAGTTAGTACTCCACTTGCTCCCTATTTTAAGCTAAGTACTATTATGTCGCCAAAAGATGAAGCTGAACGTGAGTATATGTCAAGGGTACCATATGCAAATGCTGTTGGTGTATGCAATGGTCTGTACGAGACTGGACATTTCACAAGTTGTTGGAGTTATTAGCAGATATATGCATAATCCAGGAAAGGAGCATTGGCAAGCTGTGAAGTGGATTCTACGGTATATTCATAATACTGTAGATGTTGGGTTAGTTTTTGAGCAGGAAGGCAATCAGTCTGTAGTTTGATATTGTGACTCAGATTTTGCGGGTGATCTGGACAAACGAAGATCAACTACTGGTTATGTGTTTACTTTTGCAAAGGCACCAGTTAGTTGGAAGTCTACTTTGCAGTTAACAGTTGCTTTGTTTACAACAGAGGCTGTGAAGGAGGCAATTTGGCTTGAGAGGTTGCTAAAAGAGCTTGGTGTTGGACAAAAAAGTATCACAAATTTTTGTGATAGTCAAAGTATTATTCAATTAGCGAAGAACCAAGTTTATCATACAAGGACGAAGCACATTGATGTTCGGTATCATTTCGTACGAGAAATCATTGAAGAAGGTGGAGTCACGTTGAAGAAAATTCATACTACAGAGAATCCTGCTGATATGCTGACAAAAGTGGTGACTGCGATCAAGTTTCAACATTGTATGGATTTGATCAACATGGTTGAAGACTGAAGATTGAAGATGAAGACACAACCAAAATTTGCTATTGAGAGAAAATTAAAGTGTGGAATTTTGCCAAGGTGGAGATTTGTTGATTGTCAAAAGTCCCACATCGGTGGGTGACAATTTGGGTTGGGAATTTTTCCCTATAAAAGGAGGCCTAATGCTTAGGATTTAGACACACCTCTCATTTGCCTTCTCATCTTCTTAAGGCATTTGTATCTTCTCTCTTTAGTATTATTTCACTTGTATTTTTGGAGTGGAATAAAATATTGGTTGTGTCCGAGAAAGTAGGCAAAATTAGCCGAACCTCGTAAATTCTGGTGTTCCTTTTATTGTTGTCTTATTGTCTTATTTATTATTTAGTGGTTGTCATAATTTTGGTATAGTAATTGTGACTTATTCACCCTATATACATTTGGCTTCCGCAGCAGTTTATATATAAAGCTCGTTCAAGTATATTTCCCCTACCCTCCCCCTAATTCACACCCCTCAACAAAAGTCTATAAATATCAAGATTTAGATGCACCCTCCTAAACGAATCATCTTTCTGGAAGTATTCTATTAGCAGCTTGTCAAAATATTTACCATCGAGATCGTCACCAACAATAGCACATGTGGGGGAGAATATGACTCCTTGCTGACAGGAGATTGCATATTTGCCCCTATCCAGTGTTCCAATGTTCATATTTGGGTTTAATTCGTAAAGTTGAATCTTTGAATATTCTAAACAATCGATAAATAGAATAGACAAATATTAAAGGTAATAGATCTAGGTAGAATTGTAAAAGTTAGAGGTTCCAATTAAGCTACGAGGGCTTGTTGCTCTCTTGTTTTGAATTCAAAACAATTAATCTCTTGTTTCAATATTGTAGGTAAAATTATTATAATATTCAAGTATAGCTATGAATGATAAATACAGTGTATACGTTTGCTGTGTGGCATAATTTTTCCTACTTTTTATGTATAAACTAGATGGATTATGGCTCGCGTTGCAGGCCCAATATTGTAATAGCTGGAATACTTATTCTTATTTTGATTGTTTAAATAATAGAGTTAATTACTCTTGATAACTTTTGTACTGATACTGGGCAGACAAATTTGCAGAACAACAAAAGAAGAGACCGAAAGATGTACATGGTAACAATTCATATATAAATACATTGCACACCAATTGCTTCATACTATATAGCACATACATTTAGGAAACGAAAAAAGTAATCCAAGTTGTAAAAAATTTAACAAAACATCGATTCAATGGGTGTTGTGTGCTCGTAAAATGACATAGAGTAATCTTTTTACATATATACAATCTACACAATAACAAGATAAGATGTGTTCCTGTACTGTAATTTTTTTTTTTGTAGTCTACAATAAAACTATTGGCACCTGAAGAAATTTTATGTTAAAACTATAATTGGCAAGCATGCTCTATGTTACAATCTCTTCATGCAAATTATCTGCATCTAACACAATTCACCTATAAATATTTTGTTCCACAAATTGAACTTCCAACAGAAATAATAATATAGTCGGTGATACTTTCTCATCTAAAATATGAATACTTCATCCACGAGACCATACAATCTCAACATCATTATTGTGTCCCTGCCAAAGAGACACATGTTAGCTGATTCCAAATTTAATTTCTTAGTAAAAAAATATTCATATTAAATATAGGTAAGTAACACGTGATAGAAAGACCACACTATAGCTCTGCTGCAATAGCAAGTAAGAATAAAATCATACAGTTAATATATGAAAAAATACAAGTTTATAGAGGCATAAGTAGGGGGAAAATGATAGAAGTTCCTTAAGTACTGCACTTGGAATTCTTGTTAATTAATCTTTTGCAGCTTTCCTAAACTAATAACCATGAAAATTAATACTACAATACACACCTTGAATTATTAGCTTAGCATGAACCCCACTTCTAACAAGAATAACCTGATGTATAACGGAGGTCTAATAATGCTTACCCACTTGATTTGTTCAAAATTGCTCAAATGACATTTCAATCAAGTAAAAGCAATCATTTTATATATCCAATTTACCTGTTACACTAATACCAACCAAACTACTTCACCCACTTCTCGTTTTCATTTTCAACTCAAAGAAACCAAATAAATAATTCAGCAGCAGCATTTGTTTCTCTTATTTTATTAGTATATTCAAGAAACAACATGAACAAATCCACAACATGCAACTATTTTCTACTACTCATATAATGCACCAAACATCTAGAATTCTACCAAATCAACAAACAATTCATCGCTCAACTTCCTGCGCAATGAATCTATTTTAAGATTTTATGTTTTTTTGTCCTAAAGGTAAATCACCAAGAGCTATAAGACACTATCAACCACATTTGAGCACCCCCAAAATGGTTGATTTATAATTTTTTGGGGGTCCTAAATTGTTTATCAGCTTACTTTAGAATATCAATACCTACCTTAAGCATAATAGATAGCACTTAATATTGTTGCGTGCTTAGTATCTTGATTAATACGTGAATATCATTTATGTAGGGGTTATGTTATATCTCTAACATATCCCTCATTTTGATTCATTGGTCAGTGCTGTCAATTCTACTACTACTGTCTTTTTTTCTCAAACAACAGATCTTACTTGGTCTTTCCTAAAGTTAAGGTCATTATTTCACAGCTGGTCAGGTAGTTCGATAATGTTAAAAAACTTAAATAATTCCATAAGTTCATGCAGCAAACGCTAAAATGGGTACACAATAGAAAATTCACAAAGAAGGCAGCGATACAAATTCAAATAAGCAAAGTAAGCAGTGGGAAGCAACATCTATATGGAATTTTCAACATTTTATTTTTTGGGTTTCCATCTTATTAGTTATCTTCAGATTAAGTTATCATGTCATCTTTTTGAATGTCTCCAAGTTTCAACTTCTTATCTTAAAAATATGCTTCCTCAAGAATGAGAAATAAGATGAGGAAAAATGACTAGAGGAACACGAAAAAAGTACCTTGTACTGGACGAAAAGAGACCACATACCTAATGCAAAAAACTACAGTGACAAACCTCTGCATCGCATAGAATGGAAGGTCCCCAACTTCTTCAAAAAATCCAACAAGCTTTTTCTAGAGTCTACCTTATATGCATTGTTTATGCAGAAAAATAGATTAACCAGTCGCTAAATTGACCGTGAGGCAATGTTACATCCTGATCCTCACATAAAATGAAACACAAAATAGAAATCAGCAGACAACACAAATAAATTCTTTGTATTATGAGACACAGTCTAAAAATGCCAAGATAATATATCTTGTTGCACGACTATCTGACATCAAAAGCATGAGATGGTATTGAAAATTGATATATAATGCATGGTCTTACAGTGAATTTGGATGTTTAAAAAATCAAACGCTTATAACTTAATCTGATCTAAAAGAGAATAAATCCAAAAATATACACATATTACCTAATGCATCTCTACACTTATATGAAGAGCAATTTGAAGGAGTTTAAAAATATTTAATTTGAAGACCACATCATTAAGGAAAAGTAGTTCCAATTCTTTTTCTTGTAGGGATAAAGCAGAAAACATACTTACTTTGTTTATTTTATTTAATACAAAGAGAACAATAAACCTCAAAAGACAACATCTATCTATATAGAATAGGAGAAGCAGAAACACTACATTAAGACAAGTGTCTTAACCACAAAAAGCCAAGTGGCATTGTTAAGACAAAATAAACTACTTTTCTAACTAACTTTTTTTTTAATTTTAAATTTTGAATTAATTAGTTACACTACTTGAATTAATAAATATAGATATCTTATAATTGTAAATACAACAACAACAACTATCCAGTAAAATCCCACCAAGTGGGGTCTGGGGAGGGTAATGTGTACGCAGACCTTACCCTTACCCCGATAGGGCAGAGACGCTGTTTCCGATAGACCCTCGGCTCAGATATCTTATAATTGTAAATAAAAAAAAACGAAAATACAAAAAAATATTTTACTCATTCAAATTGGAGTTTTAAAATTATTTTACAATAAGAAAACAAAAATAACAAAAAATAAAAAATTACCAATTCAAATTGGAGAGTAATTTCTTCCTAATATAGTTATATTTTCAGAATAAGAAAATATATACGTATGTTCTACTATAAGAGAAGTAGTATCATAATATTAAGCTAATTGATAAATTAATAAAAAGTCACATTAGTAAATGTATAGTTCTAAGTACTTGCTAATTTAATAAAGAATAAACAATTTATTTGTTCACTATAATGCTTTGTATCCTTTGATGTTTTATAGATTTTATTATATGTATGTACACTATATTAAATAATAAAATAATAACTAATATTTATTAATATAATATGATATATTAGATCATAATTTTATAAGATTAATATTCCGTCAAATTATCCGCGCATCGCGCGGGTTCTAATAGATAATAGAACAAAAAAGACCACATAATTTAATTACCGTGACAAAAAGTATAGACTTTACTGAATCTCAAAACATGGAGCAGCTTCAACATTAGCATATATTTCAGCACGAGTCAATGCAGCAAAAAAAAAGAAAGAGCATCCAAATACCTCGTAATATAGCGTTTGTGAGTATTGCTCAAAAGGGGGGAAATTCAATCTGAGAGTGAAAATATAGTATAAAATTGACGAAAAAAACATTCACATGTATGTAGAAAACCCAGTGTAAACATCCAGTCAGCATAAAATGAATTGCATAAAAAAACCCACCAAAATAAAGAGCTTACACTTTGGAAGATGAACGCCATAGGAAGAAGCTAGAATTTGAGATTCAAGAAAGAAACATACAGATATAGGAATAGAGAAAGAGAAGGCAAAATAGAGAATAGATAAAATGTCTAAAGCACTATCAATTTAAAATTAAATGACAAATAACAAACCCACAGACGATGGACGAAAAAACTGTAGAAGATTTTAGAGCCACAAAAAAAAAAAAGCCAAAAAAGGAGGGGTATGTGGTAATTCAATTTGGGGGCAAAGCCACACAATTTATACATACAAAATTAAATGGCAAAGTAAAATAGCATTTATGCCCTTGGTCGACCAACAAGCCTTTTATGACATGTCAGTACTTGATGCTCAAAGGGTTCGTTCAACAAGAAGGCAGATAAGTTTATGCCAAATTGGGAAACACAGAGTTGTATTCCAATTCTAATTAGAGATAAGGAAATGCGAATCCCTAAAAGAGGATACGAAGGATAAGAAAAGGTCAGAAAGGTCTAATGTTAATAGAAGACGATTGCAGCTAGAACTCATTAGCAATGGTGGATGATTAACAAAGTACAATATAGTGAAAGAAGCTTGCAGTAAGGAAGGACACGGCTATTATCAGATCAACAAAAATTAATAAAATTAGCTATGCTAAAATTACCACTTCGTCCTTGGTCGACCATCCAGGCTTTTCTATATAATAGAAAAATGATGGCACCAAAATAAAGGGTTCAGTGTTCAGTGCAGGGAACAAGAAAGGCCCACAAGTAAATGCAGGAACACCAATTTGTAGCCATCTTAAAAGAGGAATGCCCACTTACTGTTAGTTTTGTCTCGTTGAAAACCCATTGGGCCTCCATGGGCCCATTTTCCATGTCAAAGTCTCGTGATACAGGGCCCACAATACCTATGACGTTAAGTAAGTGGAGTTCAACGCACCTTGACAACCCCATTTTGCCATAGTTGGTGAGATGCGGGTTCGATCGGATCAAGTAACTTCTGTTCAAATCTAGTACTCCTTAATTATAAGAAATCTATTGAATATGATAAATTATTATTCTAAATTTCAGTAACTTAAAATGATAATATTTTCGAACTCATAAATTTTAAATCATTGCTCTGGCTTTATTGGTAATGACGTTCCAACAACTCCACTGTTTAATAAAAAACAAATAAAAGTATACAAAAAGGAAAACACAGAAAGAGAAAAAAAAAATAAAAGAGGAAAACGAGGAATATTCTACTCCACCTTTTATCCAGTTTGTCTGGATTTTAATTTTCACGAGACGGTTTTCTTTATTATTGTTTACCCTCGAATCCGGATAACAATTGAATTTATATGGGGTTTTAAGGATCCGTGAACTAAAAGATACAAAAGGTTTTTAGGTTGAGGAAAATAAAGATAAAGACTCAACAATTGCTGTTAAAGTAAATAATCGCAGAATATAATATTGCTTAGAACAATTGTGCTTGATGATCCACAAGAATTTAGAGAGATCCCCTTTTATACATTCTGATTAAGGGTAAAAATAAGGTAGGTAAATTGATTACATCGTGGATCCCTGTAATTACGCCTTAATGGCCTGAAGTGGTTGAGAAAATCACGTTTGGGCGAGATATCCGGCGACGCTTGGTTATCCGTTACGAGTCCGGCTTCCGACCTTGTGTGTTTCTCCATCCGGTGGTGACTCCTATCGAGCTCTGTAACGGTCTCGAAATGACTCGACCTCGGTTGTAGACGTGGCCGTCGTTCTACCTTGCATCCAGGTCGGGTTCGATGGCCCCGATTTGCTCCGGACCGGACCCAACCCGGTCGGGCTCAAGCAAAAAAGGGTATCACCCAATACAGATAGTCCCCTCGTTTATTAGAGAGTAATGATAATAAACGATATGACCGGTGACGTGATGCCCGTGACGTATGGCCATACGCCAGGTGAAAAAGCCATCGAGTGCTCTGACCACGCCTGCTGC